GAGTACCAACGTAACATATCTTTCTTATTGTACCATCATGGGTAAGTGGGCAAGAAGGGCCGTCTGGAGATAACCGAAATTAAATATAAAAGAATACTGGACATGGGACGACCCAACATGATATAGAAACTTATACACCTGATATACGGGCCTATAAGGCCGACATGATTATTTGTACATTTAAAACAGAGGCTAATAAAGCCATACAAGTGTCCATATAAATGACATCAGTCTACAAGCCTCTAAGAGTACATAAACGTCATAAAGGTTGGGACAGGGCCCCGCCATATCGATCAATACATGTTAAAAGCATACTGACCAAATATGCAACTCCAGAGCAAATGGAGCGCACCAACACCTTCCGCTGAGCGGATAACCTACTTGGGGGACTCTCGACCTGTCTATCGGAACCTGCTGGCATGAAACACAACATCCTCATGCAAAAGCGACGTCAGTACAAATAATGTACCGAGTATGTAAGGAATGAAAATCAGTAAACAATAGACATAAGAGAAACGTGGAGTAAAAGACTCAACATGTAAGTCTGAATAAGTCTGTGAATCATTAATATGTATAATGCCATGCATATTCGTATAAATGTCATACCATGCATAGGTATATGAGTACATAATATTATCAAGCCTCTGAGGGCATCTCATCATATCATCTCGGCCACTGTGGGCAAAATTATCAACGTATACTAGCTGATCAGGTGGTGGTGCGTATATAACCCCGTAACCTTTTCCAATATCTCATATACATATAATATACGCGTATATAACGACATTTGGTCATGGGTTAATATACATGTATACATGAATGAAATGCATAAGAAGTACGTTAATAAGATTTTCCATAATGTCGTAAGATCAATATGCGTTTGATTAACATCATGAAATAAACTTTATCAACTTACGTATTTTCTGGTACCCATCAACAGATGATAGAGTAATAGGACACATGGGGAATCAAGAACATAGGCACCTCTAGTATTTCTATGAATAGAGTCATTTACTAAAGTTGTGCATTTGCTCGTTTCGTTTGTATCGTATGGATCATGCTAAAAGGAAAGAAGGGATAGCCTTAAATACCTGAGCCGATTCTCTTGACAAACCCTCTAAAACCCATCAATCGCGACAAAACACGTAACGGCGAGATCGAAATAGGGAAAAATCCGTATGATATTTTTGAGAAAGATTGTACCGTGTTATCTTAGAATCGCATCTCACGCTGCCGTTACATTATGAAATCTCGTATGAATTCTTTTGCTGAAGCTTTTCCTCCATTACTCAGCACCATAACCTCTCATTTTAATGATGCAGGGAGATGTATTATTTTTGTGGGTTGTGGGCCCCATTTGATAAGAATGAATTTTTCCCAAATCTCCTAATTATGCCACCTTGTTTCGTGAATTAACAGTCACCAATTGGGCTTTGATTTGCTGCCACGTTGGGAGGTTGATCTTTCTCCATCATTTCCTTAATTAGTTTGTTAATCCCCCATTAAACTAATAATTAATCAATTATTCACATAATTAAGAATTATCTCAAATTACTTAAAATACTAATTACTTTTAACACACTTTATACACCTTACTATCATGTTCATGTGGTACCTTGTATGGCACTAGTCCATAAATACGGGGTATTATAGCTTGGACCGTATTTTATCTCAAAATGTCAAACTTTGACGAAGCTCATTTTCTTCGATTCGCTTACCCTCTCACATTCACGAATTTACTTATCGCTTGTTATAAATAGCATAAATGCTTATAGTCTCAAAATAATCTCATTCACGAGCTTACGTCGATTACTTATGACGAAACTTCAGTGTACGAAAATGCGGGATGTAACATCTCATTTCCGAGCTTATAGCAATTTAATTATGGCGTACTTCCATCTACGAAAATATGGGGTGTAACAGTTAATTCCCCGGCGACGTTGCCAAAATTTGATCACGCTCAACTATGCCTCCTAAGAGGTCTAGCGGTCGTTGCAAATATAATCCGATTTAAGTCCGGAGTCGAATCTCACATGGAATTAACCTACTAATCACAACCACTAGTTTCTCAACAATTCAAGTAATCAACCTTTAGAAATAGTAAATAATGGTTTGAGTGTTTACTCACTAAAGGCAAGGTAATTAAAAAGCTGTAATTTTAATACTAACATGGCAAATATTGTAGACAAGATTGGAAAGGTCTAGGGTTACGATTTCCCCTCTAGTCGAATCCTCCCCGCCACGTCTCATATAAATTTGCCTAGATATTCTCTACCGATCGTGAGCACTTTAGGTGTTGTAATTCTCTTTCGAGCAAATACAATAATTTACTAGACGTATTCTTCCAAACTACGCTAGCTGGCACAAGTTTACCGCTCACTAAGCTCGCATCAAGGTTTCGTTATTCCTAATCCCACCTATAAACCCTCTGTATTGATTCCTCATATACGTTAGGAGTGATGTTGGTCAACAACTACCTAAATGTGTATCCTTTTCTAAGAAATACACACTAAATAGGTACAGTCAATTGAGGGCCCTTCAATCAACCACAATAATCATATAGTTGAACAAGTAGGAAAAAAAAATCAAAGGCAAATCTATATTAAACGTAGTTGAAAATCATCCTCCAATAGGTTCTATCAAACCCTAGATTAGAAGATTTAGCTACTCATAACCATACTGAAATTCATGATAATAATTGAACGCATTAAAATACAGATTAAGGAAGAATGGAAGAGAAAAACTCTTGCGATTCGTTGCGTCTAAGTGTTCCCATAGCCTTTTTTTCCTCTCCAATAATGTCTTTCCCCTAAGAAAAACGTTTAGAACTCCTTTTATACATGATGGGGCGTGTAGGGTCGAAACTATCAAGTCCTAACCGAATTAGGACGAAATCTGCCATTAGCCGTTTCGCTTGGTGCCTGGCGCCAACCTGGACACCAAAATTTTTTCACTTCTGTGCTATTTTGCCATTGGCGTTTTGGTTGGTGCCTGGCGCCAACTTGGGCACCAAAATCATGCTCCCTCCAAATTCTTCTATTTGTACTTCACTTTGCATGCAAGCTTGCCAAATCACTTCAAATTGACTCCTAATGGCACAAATATTTATACCAAAAGTAACAAGATTGAGATATAATGTAAGGCAATTTACATGCAAAAATATGAATTTTTAGCCTAACATCAATTATCTAGATTACATATAATTTTGATATTAAAATTGGATCCGTTGCCTACAATACTCTAACACTAGGAGCATAAAGTTTAATATCTTTCAGGAATATGGATCAAATCTGCATTTGTCCTAAAGAAACGTTCTAAATTACCTCGCAACAGTTTTTTCTTTAATCAATGATTTTTCAATTCATCAAAAAAAAAAAACATGTTAATCATAATGTGATTGATTATATATAATTTTTAAACAGATACAGTTAGGAGCGTGTTTGGATTGGCTTAAAAGCTGGTCAAACCAGCTTTTAAGCCATTTTAAGATGTTGGGGGTGTTTGGCAAAAAAGAAAACAGCTTAAAAAAAGCCAAAAGCCACAAGTTGGCTGATCCCAACTTTTTTTTTCCAGCTTAAAAGCCAATTATCTTTGACCAAGTATTTTACCCTCTTGTCCCTAATAATATTTATTATTCCAAAAATGTCCTTCGCAAACTTTTGAAATAATTATAATATCCAACTCAAACTTTTAAAATTTGTTAGAATGTGAACTTACTTTGAAGTTTAGCTTTGCTTTGAAAGGTGAATACGACATCATTGTAATTTCTTATTAACTATACGTACAATTTTCAAATAACTTTAAAAAGTACAAGTTTATTTTATTTTGATTTCCTAATTATTAGGAATTTTTACATAGTTCAAATAAGGAATAGAATAATAAAATGTGATAGTCATTTCATATGTTTTCCCAGTAATAGGCTTCTTTATAGTGTTAACAGCTTTAAGGATATTTCAGTCATTTTAATAGAAAAAGTACTTACCAGCACTTGTTTACCAAACATTTCAACGGCTTTTTATCATCTCCAACACTTTTATCCAAACGCATAACTGCTTATTTATAAAACCAGCTCCAGCACTTAAAAAGTGTTTTTAAGCACTTGTGCATAAAAGCTACTTTTTTAAGCCAATCCAAACGGGCTCTAGGATACATCACACTTTGACAAGACATATCTACCTCACTAAACACCATTTTAATTCAAAAAAAGAAAACTTGTTAATCATAATGTGATTGATTATATTTTTCTAAACATATATAGTTTATTATGATATGGATTTTTATATCAACAAACATTCACTTTATTGTGGTATTCTTTTATTTGTGTAGTACAAGCTGGACAATAAAACGGGTAACTTTTCACATACATATTACCCCGCTACAAGTTGTAGTAATAGAAGATATTAAAACTTTCCTTTTTTATAGTCTCAAATAATCAACCGCTTTCGCGAATACTTTAGAAACTCAATTATGTTTCTTTGAGACTCACTACAACATAATGTCTTATTCATAATCAATTTTATTCCTCCAAAATAGTAATAGTTGGCTCTTCGAGAGCTCTCAATTAATTTGGTACTAACACATATTCATCAACATCCATACGGTGAATATCTCTTTTGAAGAGAAATTTATACTATTATGGTCATGGTCAGAATTCTATACAAGATCTGTTCCTTGCATTATTGTTGCCCTTCAACAGTAAACCAAGAAGAGTATTGCAGAGAAAAGTAACGGGAGAGAATTTTTATTAATATGGGATAATTTACAATGGAATATGACATATCTATTTAAAGGGAGTGACTTAGACACCAAGTAAAATCTCTACAATCTTTTTAAAATATAGACATTCACCATAAATAAAATTCAATTTATAACAAGTATGACTTATTGTATAATTTTTTTTGTAATTTTCAAATATAAAATTCTTTTTTACAAAAAGAAAATTTTTATGTCCAAATTCAATTTTTTTTTTATTTCACTGAGAAAAAGTTTCTTCCAAAAGACCAATGACTTTCACTTGTCATTTAACACCACGGCTGTCGTCCGGCGCCTCCGCGGCTCCTTCCATAAACCCGTAAAACCCCTTAGCCGTAGAATGACCATAAGGCTGTTCAGATATGCTCTTCCGCGCTCAGTTCCCTCTCGTTTTGTTGGTCATCCTTTCAAATTCTCTTCAAGATTCATATGCTCCGAGAATAACCTTGTTACATTGGTAGACCCAGAACTGAGATTCCCAGAAAATGAATCTTTTCAACAAGAAAAGAAGATGGGTGGTTCATTTTCCGTCCAAGAATTGGATTCAATCTTGGGTGCTGAAGTTATCTCCAAAGATGAGATTGGTAAGTTTTCAGATGATGCTTTCTTGGTTATAAATGCAATAAGGAAGGGTAATGATGGGTTTGGAGAGAGAACTGAGAGAGTTGTTAGGCATTTTAGGGAAAAGCTCAACCCTGGTTTAGTGGTTGATGTGTTAAGAAATATACAGAACCCTGAATTGGGTGTTAAGTTTTTTATGTGGGCTGGTAGACAAATTGGCTATGTGCATAATGCATCAGTTTATGATGCTTTGTTGGATGTAATAGGGTGTGATGTCCCATTACATTTTGTTCAAGATATAGGAAAAGATGATAGGGAAGTGCTTGGCAAGTTGCTTAATGTGTTGATAAGCAAGTGTTGCAGGAACGGTTTGTGGGATTTAGCATTGCAGGAGCTGGAAAGGCTCAAGAATTTTGGTTACAAGCCCTCGGCAGCCACTTATAATGCACTGATTCAGGTGTTTCTGCAAGTAAATAGATTGGAGACTGCATCTTTGATATACAAGGAGATGTCAGCACTTAATTTTAAGATGGACAAGCATACATTAAATAGCTTTACGCGATCATTGTGCAAAGTGGGTAAATGGAGAGAAGGCCTTGATTTAATTGACAAGGAAGAGTTTGTGCCTGATACAGTGATTTATACTAATATGATTTCAGGATTATGTGAAGGTTCCCTCTTTGAAGAAGCAATGAATTTTCTCAATATAATGCGGACTAGTTCGTGTATCCCTAATCGTGTAACATATGAAGTTTTGCTTTGTGCACTTTTAAACAGGAGAAAACTTGGTCGCGTCAAGAGGGTTCTTAATCTTATGATCTCTGAAGGTTGTTATCCCGGTCAGAAAATATTTAATTCTCTTGTACATACATACTGTAGATCAGGAGATTACTGGTATGCCTACAAATTGCTCAAAAAAATGGATGGCTGTGGCTGTAAGCCTGGATACGTAGTTTACAACATATTGATTGGTGGTATTTGTGGCAATGAGGAGTTACCAAGCAAGGATGTTCTAGAATTGGCTGAAGATGTGTATAATGAAATGCTAAATGCAAGACAAGTACTGAATAAAGTCAATGTGGTCAATTTTGCACGATGCCTTTGTGGATTTGGAAAATATGAGAATGCTTTTAGTGTTATTAAAGAAATGATGAGCAAAGGTTTTGTACCTGATGTCAGTACATACTCGAAAGTGATTGGTTTTCTTTGTAATGCCTCCAAAGTAGGCAATGCATTCCTGTTGTTCCAAGAAATGACGAGGAATGGAATTGTTCCAGATGTTTATACTTACACAATTTTGATTGATAGCTTTTGTAAATCTGGCCTTATTCAACAGGCTCGTAATTTGTTTAATGAAATGATAAAAAAGGGTTGTAGTCCTAACGTAGTGACTTACACAACTATTATCCATGCTTACCTCAAGCAAAGGCAAATTTCAGATGCAAATGAGCTCTTTGAATTGATGTTAACGCAAGGATGCATTCCAAATATTGTCACTTTCACTGCTTTGATTGATGGATACTGTAAAGCTGGACACATAGAGAAGGGTTGCCAGATCTATGCAAGAATGAAGGGTAGTCTAGGTACTGCTGAAGTAGACTTGTACTTCAAGGTTGATCTTGATGGTAATAAGGAGCCAAATGTTGTTACATATGGAGCTTTGATTGATGGTTTGTGCAAAGCACACAGGGTGAAAGAAGCTCGCAATCTTTTGGATGTCATGGTAGTGGAAGGATGCGAGCCAAATCATATTGTTTATGATGCATTAATTGACGGGCTTTGCAAGGTGGGTAAGCTAGATGATGCACAAGAGATATTTACAAAAATGTCAGAATGTGGTTATAGCCCGAGTGTTTACACCTACAGCTCTCTAATTGATAGGCTATTTAAGGATAATCGTTTGGATCTTGCTATAAAAGTCTTGTCTAAAATGCTCGAAAGTTCTTGCCCCCCAAATGTGGTTATATACACAGAGATGGTAGATGGCCTTTGTAAAGTTGGTAAAATAGATGAAGCTTATAAACTTATGATGATGATGGAAGAAAAGGGTTGTCATCCAAATGTTGTGACCTATACTGCAATGATTGATGGATTTGGCAAAGCTGGAATAGTGAATAAATGTCTTGAACTCATCGAACGGATGGGTAACAAGGGTTGTGCACCAAATTACATAACCTATTCAGTTGCAATAAAGCATTGTTGTGCTGCGGGACTTTTGGATGAGGCACTCCAACTTCTTGAGGAAATGAAACAAATAAGTTGGCCAAAACACATGGCCAGCCATCGTAAGGTTATTGAAGGCTTCAAAAGAGAGTACTTAATCAGTCTGGGTCTTTTAAAGGACATGGGCAACAAAGATTCTCTTCCAATTATTCCAGTTTATAGGGTTCTAATTGATAGCTATCAAAAAGCAGGAAGGCTTGAATTTGCCGTGGAGCTACTTAAAGAGACTTCATCATCTTTGCCATTTCCGGATCTTGATAAGAAAATGTATTCTTCCTTGATCGAGTGCCTTTCTGTTTCAAACAAAGTTGATTTGGCGTTTGAATTATATGTAGACATGATAAAGAAAGGCGCAGTTCCAGAGCTTGCGGACTTTGTTAACCTCATTAAGGGATTAGTAAGCATGAATAGATGGGAGAATGCACTTGAACTCTCCGAGAGCTTGTATCACTTGGTCAGTACCTCTTCATTTCGGCTCTGTCTTCAATAGATATAACGAATTATTTGTTGGTTTCATATGTATTTTGTAAGCTTTATAGGTCTTGAAGTTCTGCAGTTAACGTTTCCAATGTGATCCATGTTGACATAATAAATTAAATCCAATAACAAACTGAAGGAGCTGTTAGAACTAAACCAATTCCTATAAATATAAGAACAGAATGTTTCAGCATCATAATATTCATCATCTCTAAGATAGGAAAACTTTGTGTTGACTCTTGATTTAGATCCCGAGTGTTAAAAATAGGACTGAACTGTATATTTATGTACACATTCCAGTAGATTCTACATAGTTACTTTAACGCCATGAGAAGCAGCTCATATTTATCTGTGTACACTCTTTAAAGTACATGTTCATGTGTGGTTTGAGTGTTCTTAATGCACTGAAGTTGCTATGTTCTTTATTGGTTTCTGAAGCCTTGGGTGTATGGTAAATATATGTAAATGTTGAGATTCTTCCTTCACTTCCTTTTTCTACCATTCTTTTTTACCAGTTACATGCATCGAAATCCACCACCATTCAGCTCCTTTAAAGGTCAAGAAATAATACGTTGAGTCTATCTCATTATGAGGAACTACCTGTTGGCACCTGATATACATACTTGGAGCTGCACTAGTTGACAGGCTGCAGTTTTACCTTGTTATAACCAAGTAAGTAACGTATCTACACATATATCACAATCTCAATAGCTTTGCAAATTATTCTCGTCTTCTATTTTTGATACATTTATTTGACATATACTTGATTGTTAGCTCACTATTAGAGTTTCTGGTTTGCGTTTCCTATGTGTCTGTGTTATTTCAAATATTGTCACCTACCTTTCATTTTTATATAGCTCGAGGAAATTGACGACCATGGCAGGATTCTATGCCTAGCTTCAACATTCATTGGACAATAGGCATCTGAATGAATTACCTATCCAAAAGAAGATATTATGAAAGCGATTTTACCAATACCGTACTACTATAAGGAAGCATGAAAAGAGCCTCAATAATTCTTTTATTGCGATAATACAAAAGAACGAATGGGTATCAAACATTAAGAGTCTACTGGAAAGCATCTATAAAAATTTTGCATGTCGCTTTCCGTTTGACTTAAGAGAATGTTAGACTCCATGGTTTCAACGTCCCAAAATGGTTTTGTAGGAGGGCGATAGATACTTGAAGCGGATTCAATTGCAAATGAGCTTGTGGACTAGATATCGAAAAATGGGGGTGTGCTTTGCAAGCTGGATTTGGAAGGCGTATGACCACATCTATGGGGTTTTCAGGAGAGTATGTAATGGGGAGATTGGTTTCAGGGAAAGACGGGGATAGTGCATACACTTTCGGCATATCCACATTGAGATTATTAGTTTTGGTCAACAAGGCTTTGCCTAAGACAAAGAATCCCTTTTTTTCACATGCTATTTATTTGGTTAAGAAAGCATTGGACAAGATAATGAATAGGGCGACAAGGGTAGGTTAGTTCAGAGGCTTCAAGGGCACAGGAGGCAAGCTAGCGTACCCGTGTACCACCTACCATTCGCAGATGATACAGATACAGTAGTGTTTTAGTATTAGAATCTAAACATTACTCTGCTATGCTTCTAGGCAGTCTCAAGTTTCAAGATCAATTTAGGGAAGCATGAGATCCTTCTGGTTGGTACAACAACAACAACAAACAACCCAGTGCAGTCCCACACAGTGAGGTCTGAGGAGGGTAGTGTGTACGCAGACCTTACCGCTACCTTATGAAGGAAGAGAGGTTGTTCCCGATAGACCCTCGGCCGAAGAACAATGAAAAAGATGCAATAAACAAACAATAACAATGGCAAGTAAATAAGATAACCGGAAAAGAGTTCAAAATGCCCCTAAACTATTGGAAAAGGTTTACAAATACCCTTCATCCACCTATTGGGCTAAAAATACCCCTCCATCCACTTTTTTGGTTCACTTATGCCTTTGACCGTTAGGTCAATGCTAAATTAAAAATAATTATTATTCTTTTTGTAAAACTTAAAAAAAAAATAATTTTCGTTTTTTTAAACTAATGCACCAATAGTCCACTAATTTAGTAAAGTCTTCTTATTTTTTTTTTCCAGTTTTACAAAAAACAATTCAGTTTTTAC